TCTGTTTCTCTAGCTTATAGATCTGACCTTCTAACACCCAAAAGTCACGTAAAGGTCCCATCTTTATGTTCATGCATCGCACATATGGCTCTATTTGATGAAATAACTCTTAAAATGGAAACCTAGACTCAAAACTCTTATGGGACTGCATAAAGCTGGATGATTGGGACTCTTTGGACCTCTCAAGATCCAGATTTAAAGTCTATTCGTCAATGGGAATCCACATGCTCCATATTCCAACTAAAGAAGGGGTAAAGAAACCCTAGATTCATGAGATCTACTATATACATGAAAATAGGTATGGATTCATACCTCAAACAGCAACATTTGAAGAAGTGATAGTAGATCTGAGCTCCTCAATCAGCCTAGCTTGAATCCCCTCCTTCCTTCTTGCAAGAATGCACTAATGGTGATGTAATTAGCTCCTTCCCTCACTCTCTATGCTCTCTGGTTCGTTAGGGTCTCTTAAGTGTGTGTGTGGCCGCCAATGAAGGCAATAAGGTCCCTTAAATAGGGCACAGGCCCAAAGATTTAGGGTTTCTGTCCACAGCGCGGACTCGTCGAGTCGACTCACCGGCTCGTCGAGTCTATTCATTAATAGAGTCATCAGTCACAATCCTACTCGACGAGTTTAGGCGTCAACTCGTCGAGTCCCTCTTCTTAACTCAAAAATAAATACTTAAATTATGATACCTGGAAATCCGGATGTTACAATTCTCCCCCACTAGAATCAGACTTCGCCCTCGAAGTCTTACTCTGCAAACAACTCTGGATGCTGCTCACGCATCTCCGTCTCCGGCTTCCAAGTCAGCTTGGACCCTCTCCGATGTTGCCACTGGACCTGAACCAGAGGCACCTCCTTGTTCCTCAGAACCTTGATCTTCCGATCCAAGATCGCGATCGGCCTCTCAATGTAATTCAGGCTCGCAGCCACCTGAATATCCTCTAGCGACACTACTGCCATCTCATCGGCTATACACTTCCTCAAATGGGATACGTGGAAGGTATCATGAATCTGGCTCAACTGCGCAGGTAGCTCTAAACGGTATGCTACCTTGCCCACTCTGGCAATCACCCTGAAAGGACCAATGTATCGGGGCCCCAACTTGCCCCTCTTCCTGAATCGGATCACTCCTTTCCAAGGAGATACCTTCAGGAGTACGAAATGTCCAACCTGGAAGTCGAGCTCGGATCACCGCCTATCCACATAATTCTTCTGGCGGCTCTGGGCTGTCAGCAACCTCTGTCTGACCTGCTGTATCTGCTCAATCGTCTTAAGCACTATCTCAGTGCTACCCATCACTCGCTGCCCTACCTCTCCCCAACAGATGGGAGTTCGACACCTCCTCCCATATAAAAGCTCAAAGGGAGGTATACCTATACTCGAATGGTGGCTGTTGTTGTAAGAAAACTCAGCCAAAGGTAGGTATGTGTCCCAACTTCCCCCGAAGTCCATAACACATGCTCGAAGCATGTCCTCGAGCGTCTGTATCGTCCGCTCACTCTGTCCATCCGTCTGTGGGTTTGTACGTGACTTCATCTTGAAATATCATTACAATGAATATAAATGAAACGTAACATCATCATCACCATGCATAATATGATACAACTGTCATTGTTCACATAAAGTACAACATTTTAAATTACATGACCATAACATTCAAATTAAGATGTTTAACAATACACAACAAAATCCATATTCTTGTTGATTCTTCCGCTTACCGAGTTCCTGAGAATACAAGTTATTTTGAAAACGGTCAACATAACAATGTTGGTAAGTTCATAAGAGTATTTTAAATGAAAAGTTTTGTATAGATAGTACCACACCAGAAAATCTGATATTTTCTGCAAAAGAGTTTGAAAATGATGTATCAAATCAAGTATTAATGCATGTGTGGTTTCCCATTATAGAAAATATGTAGGAATAAGTTCCCAAAACTCCTGTTTGTTGTGAATTGAAGGCAGTGTGCAATGTATATTTTTCCCCTAGAAAATCCGATATTTTCTGATTATAAAAGTAATGTAGTCTTAAAACCCTAAGACCAAGTATTAGTGTGTGTACATTTTGTGTCGCCACGATTTGTATTTGTATTCCATAATATTCTGATGGTATTGATCTTTATGTGAGCCGTTACAACCATGCTTAATAATGACTAATTCGCCTGTTATGGCGTATCAGACGCCGGTTTGTCGAAGGTAAGGTTTGTCACCCTAAACTGGCCTAGTCTACCTGTAGCGAATAGCTCAGGTGTGGGGTGTCATCCCGTATAGATCTATACACAAACTCCCGCTCTCCCTCCAGGAGACTCTGGTTATAACTACAGGCTACGATCATACACTCGGAGGTGTTAACCGACAAGTCTCACTAGATCCACAACTTGTTCACGAGCAATGTATTACAAGTATATTGTCTTACATTGTATAATGTTTTACGTGTATGTTTTAAGTTTTCAAATCCAAAGTATGTATTCGAATGTACGAGACCCAGTAACAGGTATATGGGCCACCAAGGCCCAACAACGGATAATGAATAATTCAGGCCTAATTAGCATGTATATGGGCCACTAAGGCCCAATTAACCATGAAATGCTTAATTTTAGCCCAAAAAGTATGTATATGGGTCACTAAGACCCCATAGACATGAAATGACATATTAGGCCCAACAAACATGTATATGGGCCATTAAGGCCCAAATGAACATGTACTGGATATATTAGGCCCATTATTTCGAAATTTACATTTATGGCCCAAATGTGTATAAAATGTTATTTTCGGCCCATTTTTATAAGGATTTGCATTTTTAGTCCATTTTTAAATAAAAGGACATATTTGACTAAAGTTTTATAAATATGACATTTTTGGCCCATGATTATAAAAATTTACATTTTTATCTCACTTTTCATAAAAATTACGCTTTTGGCCCAAACTTTGGAAAATTTTCATTTTTAATCCAAGAAACCGTAGGTTTACATTTTTGGACTCAAACTTGAGTCAAATGATGATTTACTCCTTAAAATTGAGATTTTACATTTTTGGCCCAATAAAACCGAAAAGCCCATTCTTATGGCCCAATGTTTAAAAATTTGCATTTTTGGTCCCTTTTACCCTAAAAAATATCATATAACTTATTTTTGTATAAAAGTGATTCTTTTAGTCCTTGTAAAACCGAAAGTGTCATAAAATCTCATATTTTTGTTTATTTGTTCAAAAATGGCCCTTCTTCAAGATTTTGTTTAACTTCTTATGGATCTTCACATGTTAAACCCATCTAACTTCATAGTATGTTGTTTGAAGTGTTTTAGTTACACATATCACCACTTTTGGTTAGAATTTTCGAGATCTATAGTGTTTCATCAAATAATCACAACTTAAATCAAGAAAAACACACATAACATGCACAAATACATAGATCTAACACATAAGGACTTGTATCCTCCCCCAAAACAAGATAAAACCGAAAACAAGGGGGGTATGAACTCATTTTGCTTTGTTGTTCTCGGTTTGAAGAAGAAATGGAAGAAGATGATGTGATTCTCGGCCCTAGCAAGCTTCTTGAGATGATTTTTGAACTCAAATGGTCCTAAAAAGAGTATGATTCACGGTTTTTGAAACAAACAGATCAAGTTTTAACATAATCATGGAGTTAAACTTGTTTGAGTAAGAGTAGATTACCAATTATGGATGAGAACTTGATGCAAACTTCTTGGAACACACACAAGATCTCGAAATTTTTGAGGAAGATGAAGAAGTTCTTAAGAGGTTTTTGAAAGAGTTTGCAAGTGAAAAATGAGAGGGTGAGGGGAGGGTCTCGGCCGAGAGAAGAATAAGAGAGAAAGAGAGGAGAGAGGTGAAGATGTGATGGATGCCTTGATGTATGAGATTTGTTGTTTGCTTAGAGGGTAATTTTCATGGAGAACCACCATGCAATTGTGAGGTGGCACCATAATATCATCCCCTTTGTTTCCTTTTTTTTTCTTTTATCATGGGCCGAGAATTGGGCTAGAAGAAAAGGAGTGGAATAGTTAATTACTTGACATAGCTCGAAATCATGAGGCCCAAATAATTATTTTTCGGCCCTTAGGAGAGTTCACGCCCATTTGAAAAAAGAAAAATGATTTTATGGCCCATTAGGGCTATTGGAATTTGTTGTGGCCCAACTTGGCCCATTAGAGATAAAATGAATCATTTTAGGTCTAAAGTAGTCGAATTTGAAGGCTTATTGGCCCATTAGGCCCAATAAGAAAATCCTAGTTCATAATAAACTTGACCCGGGATTTTTAGGGTTTTCAACTCATAATTGACTATTTGAAGTACTTTGTATAGAGTTTTGAACTTCACTAATGAATCTTGATGGAATTTGTTGTCATTGAATGAGCATCATACATATTATCAAGTTAGGGTTACAAGGATTATCATAGTTAATGTTTACATGAGCACAGAATTTCCTAGCTAAATTGCTAGTTGTGACAATATATATATATATATATATATAATATATATAATATATATATTAGATAGAAGAGAGAGAGAGAGAGAAAGAGAGAGAGAGAGAAAGAGAGAGAGAGTGTGTGTGTGTGTGTGGGGGGTACCACTCTTTGGGTGTAATATAAACCACACTTTTGTGGTAAATGATGAGTTGGCACCTACATGACAGTGTGGTTTCATGAGCCCTCAAGCCTATTAACTCATAGAAACAAGCATTTTGACCGAACGACCAGCTTAGTTGGGCAGAAATTGATGGACCTTGGACCGGACCTGTTAAGGCTTACCATGTTCGGTCCGGTCCAAAGGTCCAAATGCTCACCCCGACACCGAACTCCCTCATCGACAATAGAAACTTGATCCGAGTCTACTGATTTTTCCAAAAACTTAATAAAGACACATGTGAATCAATGACTTTATTGGAAAAAAAAAAAGAGTTGAAACATTAAATGAATCTAATGTTTGATAAAAACAAACTACAAACAATCAATGACTTTATTGGAAAAAAAAAAAGTACACTCAAATATAAACAAACCTATGCCTGTGACTTCATTAAATCAAAACTTGAATCTATAACCTGTCATATAGTAGTTGATACATCATAAACAAACCAACTACACATCACTTGTACAAAATGATTTATGTATTTGTGTTCCCAAAGAATCACTTCTACTAATAGTAGTAATTACACCATTCCATCCATACAAACATACAATACCTCAAAAATCAAGATTAAAATTATAATTATAAAAAAAAAAAGCCAAACTTTCTTTTTGTGTGAGAAACTTCCTTGAATGCAAAATGCAGCATCCATCTGCTATATTGTTTCCTTGAATCCAGCTCAGTGGTTCAATTTTAACCCCTTTTTATGCATTTTCTTGGAAATTGTATTTCAATTTTATAGATCAAGATTACAGCTTTTAAATTGGAAATCTTGTCCAAATGCTCCAGCAATCCTACATGACACTTCCACTAATTTCCCTGAATTTAAAAAACAATCAAATGAAATAAATTGTTAGCATCATTACAAAAAATTCCATCATTTCTATGGTCTACCCAAAAAGACAGGTATTCCACAAACTTTATATAGCATAACATGTGTTTTGATGCATTATAATGTACAACTTTTAATGCACAAGTTACAAAGGGGAAGTCTTGAAGTGCAAGTATCAGTACACATGGTACAACATGATGAACAGATCATACACAGGCTGTTTTCAATAAGAACAATTGAAGGTAATTTCCAAAATGTTAATCTGTTTGATAGTTTGTTTCAAGCTGTTATTATCGACTCTGATCATCAATTCTTAACATGAATTTGGCAAAAAAAGCATTAATTAATGGGGATTAGAATTCAGAAGGAATAAACAGTAAACACACCTCTTTTTTGCTCAGCCGCGATCTTCTTCGTCGGCGGCGCAGGAGCAACCTTGCTGGCCGGTTTTTCCACCGTCTGCTCGAACGGAAACAAAACCCCATCAATACCCTGCACAGATATTCTTCCGTCGGTGTAGATATCCGGGTCAAACAAGTAAGCTGTCTCCTCCCCTTGTCCGAATTTCACCGATCCATCACCCTCCTCCGCCACCACCTTATGCGGCAGCCTCAATGTATCATACTGAACCTTACCGAACCGCCGTACGGAATTGTACATACTCTCTTCCGTTTGATACTCCGGGATCAAATGGTAGTAAATTATCTGCTCCGGTGCACCGGGGTCGCTTAACTGGTCTGTTGTCAGTTTAGCCATGGCTTCATCGTTGGGAGCTAAGACTGTTAAAACGTAACCCTCGGACACCAGCTTACCCATCTCCGTCGCTAATGACGTTAAATTGACCAATATGTCTGCTAATTCGTTGTAGCCGCCGTAATGGAGGAGTGTTTGGATGAAGTCTTTCACCTGGTTCTCGCCGTCAAAGTGGTGGCGGGGTCCGCCTGGACCTGGTGCTGGTGCCGGAGCTAGAGAGGGCCCCGGAGCCATCGCCTCGTATACCGGTAGTGCTGGTGGAGCACCGGCGGGAGCTGGAGTGGCTGGTTTCTTCAACCGGTTGGTTCTCGGATCCACCACCGGAGCTCCTTCGGGTAAAACAGCTGAAATTGAACTCAAGCTTCTTCTCCGGTTAAACTCTTCTTGTACTAATCTGGGCACCAACAATCTCTCAATCCCGTGAATCACCCCATCTGGTCTGATTACATCATCGGGACGGATTACTTTAGCTAAACCAACCACTATTTTCTCACCGGAGTTTTCTCGGGTTAACGGCAGATGATTCTCAGCTTCCTCAACACACAGTGTTTCATACGCTACTGATGCTAAATCCTCCTCCGGCCACTCCTTCGACCCGACCCGAGACGGAATGATATGAAATAGCAACAGATTCTGTAGAGATTTGAGATTCCCAGGTTCAAGTAAGAACCGTTTGAACTCAGGATCTAAATGTCTCTCCAAAGCTTCATTGCTCGGAGCAAAAATGGTGATGTTATGACGAGATACTGCTTCCTCAAGGGTCTGTAAAAGAAGGGCTTTCTCAACGAGCTCGGATAGCTCAGTGTAGTGCGAATCCAGAAGCGCGACTAGAACCGAGTTTGAATTGATCTGGGTAGAGCTAGATTTGGTGTGTTGTTGAGGAATCTCAGTTGCATTGATGGATGCAGGTGGTATGAGATAAAATATGAAAAATAAGATCCCCAATGCACCATAGATCTGAAAATCCATGGTGCTAATCTGTGAAAATATCAAGATTGAAGACAATATTGAGATGGGGAAAATGCGGGTTTACTCTGTTTTCTGATTTTCTCTCTCTAGTGAAAATATCAAGAACTGTTAACGAGGTTGTTTCTCTCTCTAGGTTTTGGTTATGGCGGAATGAAGAAGGCAGGTAGGGAAAGAGAGAGAATGAAACGGCAAGATGTGTTGTCGTTTCGTTTGGAAAAGGAGTGGAGGAGACAAAGGCCCGTGAACAAATAACATGTTATAGCGGTTGCGAAACAGCTACTGTCACCCACAATATTTTCTCTGATTATTTGTAATTTTTATACAACAATATTTAAGGGTGTTTGATATCTTTTTTATAGGGTATAGTAAAAATATTTGGTCACTCAAGATATTTAATATCATATTCGTTCATGGTTTTTCTGATATATTTTTTAATCGGTTAGATCCAGAATTATATATGATTCAGTCCGACCTGACTCAATCAACAACTATCAACCAAAATTTTAAATTATAATTTATATATTTTGTTTAAAAACAAATATCTTCACTAAATTATGTGTTAAACCCAAGGATGTACTTTAAGTATGTATAGTGTGAATGTATGTATAGTGTGAATACAATTCACATGTACAATGTATTGAAGTACTAAGAGACTTTGAGACGATTTAAAATGTATATATTAAGATACAAATTGAAGTAATTTTTAAGCAAGTGTTATATAGTAATGAATAAAGCGAATGTAGTTGGATTATAACATGCATATGGAGATATTCAAGGGAAAACCTTCTTCGACTGATAGATCTATTTGGCAAAACTAATTTCTAATCGTAAATTAAAAGCTGCAAAATTAGGTTTTAAAATAAAAGATGTATAAGTTCGAACTACCAACTAAAATCTTTTCTTTAATTCAAGTTTTTATTAAAGGCTTTAAAATCTTGTTGCCCAATATTACCCATAATATATTGGATGGCAAGAAAATTTAATTTGTTGTTAATAGTAGAATGGTTCGTTTAATGATTTAAAAGTTGATTTTATTGGTGTTCTATTATTATTTTATTGGCGTTTGTGGTTTTGTGTGGTTTCCTCAATTTGTTTAGGTTGTTGCAACTTGCAAGTTTTGATTTTGTAAGGCGAATGAATCTATATGTCACCATCGGACGTATCATCCGTCCAATTCCTAGTCAAAAGTCAACTATGCATTTATCATCTATTGATTGTGACTTTTGAGTTATATTTAAAGATAATTGCGAGTCTTTTTATTAAGTGGGTATTAATGCTAATTAACCTGGAAGAGAAAAGAAAATTCATGAAATAACCAAAATTGAGGGATGTTTAAAGCATTGAACCAAGAAAATTTGAATTTTGAAAAATGACTACGAGATCCGCAGAGGGGGCTATGCGGATCGCTTTAAACCTCTCGGGAACGATGAATAGTACCGAGGAGTTGATGTGGCATCAAGACAAAAAAATATGGTGGGTATCATGGTTCTGCAGAGGTGGCTCTACGGATCCATTTAACCCTCCGCGGAAGTTTAAATTCATGAGGAAATGATAGTTGCTCCTCTTCGACAAATCCGCAGAGCTGTCTCTGCGGATCCCTGCAACACCTCTGCGGAATTGTTGATTTTTCTGCGGATCTCACCATTTTTTTTGTCTTTTAGTGATGTCACGTCAATTACTCGGTACTATTCATCGTTCCTCAGAGGTTTAAAGCGATCTGCAAAGCCCCCTCTGCGGACCTCGTGGTCATTTTCCAAAACTCAAATTTTCTTGGTTAAATGCTTAAAACACCCCCTCAATTTTGGTTATTTCATGAATTTTCTCGGAATAGAACTATATATAAGAAAAATAAAAGGTGGTATTATACGTAGCTTCACTTACATAAATTATCAAATCACGATGGTATACATAATATTTCACTCACAAGTCACAAGGTGTGTACACAAAACAATTTAGAGGGTATATATAGAATTTCCCAAAATAAATTGTTACCAGGATCAAACAAACACTTAATAAAATGGTGTCTGTTAAAATGTTGTCGTTAACGTCTAAACAAATAAAAAACATTGCTTGGTTGCCCTAATAAGTAGCACAGGGAAGCAGGGTCGAATCCATAGGCACACAGCCTAAAAGTCAATGTCTGTTTGCCTAAGACACATACTAGTGAGAAACATAAAATGTAGACTAAACTGCACAGATGGTCCATGTGGTTTGCTCAAAATTGCCCACTTTAGTCCAAAAAGGTTTGGACTAGCACCAGAGGTCCAAAGTTTTCATTTTGTTGCTTGATTGGTCCAATCTGTTTTGATTTTTTTCAAAATGACGAATTTGCCCCTGTTAATATGATTTTCTTTTTTTCTTATTTTTTTATCTGATTTTCAGATTTAAAATAAAAAATAAAAAATAAAAATAAAAATAAAATAAATCTCTCTCTCTCTCTCTCTCTCTCTCTCTCTCCCTCTCTCTCTCTCTCTCTAGAAAACCCAAGCACAAAAAAGAGGCTGCTACCCTCCGTTCCAACCATGTTTTCTTCTTCTTTCTTGATGACAAGCAACCCAAACACCCCCATACTTGTTGTTACCGCCTCCCTTCTTCTTCTTCTTCAGTTTTAATCCAGAAAAGCTCCACTGGAGGTGGGGTTTTTCGGCTGTCAAGAGGGTAACAACCCCCTCCCGTTTTCCTTGTGCTTATCATCGGCTTCATAGCAACCCAAATGCCCCCACCTATTGTTGTTCTATCTCCGATCTACCTTACCCTTTCCCTTCGCGTTTTCTTCCAGATTAGAATAGGAACAGTCAAGAGGTCGCTGGAGCAGCCCCTTAACTGCATCAGTCAACAAGAGCCTTTGTTGCTTCGTTCTTCTCCTTCCCCCAACCTATTCACATCTCTACCTCCTCTATTCCCTCCTCCACTCTCCTGTTGTTGGTACCCAAACACCAATAACCGACTGAAAAGCATTGGCTCCTCAAGAATCCCCAAATTGAAGATGCGATACAACACAAAAACAAACCAAATCAGGTAAAAACGAAGAGTACAATCTCTTTCTCTCTATGTATTTATGTGGGCATCTTCTGGGAATCACTTCTCTTGCTCTTCAAATCGGGGTTGATTTTGTCTCTTCAAATCATTTCTCTTTGAGAGTGGAGGCACAAATCATAGCATCAGGTGAACAAATTTGGCAAATAGGTTTGATCGTCTGTTTCCATCTCTTTTTTATGGAAATCGAAGATATGGACTTTTCTCCTTACGTTTCTGGATGAACCCGATTTGGTTTTTTTACCCAACTCAAAACAGAGAGAAAGGAGAAGATCCTGAGAGAAATTAGTTTCATTAAGTTTGTAGAGAGAATATAAAGATACGGGCAAGAAAGGGTGTGACATGAAGATCTGAGATTGAAGAAGATGATGGTGGTATGTGTTCTTGGGATGTGTAGAGAGAGAAAGAGAGAGAGAGAGAGAGAGAGAGAGAGAGAAATTTATTTTTATTTTTATTTTTTATATTTTATTTTTAAATCTGAAAATCAGAAAAATAAATAAGAGAGAGAGAGAGATTTATTTTATTTTTATTTTTATTTTTTATTTTTTATTTTAAATCTGAAAATCAGATAAAAAAATAAGAAAAAAAGAAAATCATATTAACAGGGGCAAATTCGTCATTTTGAAAAAAATCAAAACAGATTGGACCAAACAAGCAACATAATGAAAACTTTGGACCTCTGGTGCTAGTCCAAACATTTTTGGACCAAAGTGACAATTTTGAGCAAAAAACCACAGGGAACATTTGTGCAGTTTAGTCTAAAATGTAAAGATAGAGGTTTTGTTTATTAATTAAAATTAAAAATTGTAATGAAATAACTTTACGGAAATTCAATAATAAAAAGGTATTTCAGTTCTGCTGCGACTCTCGTAATTTTGCAATCAATTCAGATCTGGTTATTTAAGATGCATTCTATCTAAGCTGGTACTGAAAACTACTAACAAACTCTAATAAGTTCTCTTTTACCTAGTTAATTAACCAAAACAAACTTTTCAGTTAATCCCCCAACTTTTTACTAACTTAATTAAACAAGCTCTTAATGAAATCAGAAAAGCAGCATTATGAACAATGTAAAATTTCCACTAATATTCAATACTTCTCACAAGCTTGGAAGCATAATAATATGTGATATTCACTTTATATCAAAATTAAATCCCACCATGGAACCAATCTGATATTTGTTACTTATTACCAGTTTATCAAAACAATTATGAATTTCAACAATTGATTAACTAGAATGTTTTAATCCTAATCAAGTAATCAGTCTAAAAAGAACTAAATCAAACATTTATGAAGCACAAAACTGAAACCACTAGATAGAATCACAAATTAAAGACCAAATCTTAGATTAACAACTTAAAAATCCGAAGTCTTTTGTAGAACTAAAATCTAGGGTTTTTAACCAGACATGACTAAAAACGATCTAAAGCTAATAAAAAGAAAGACTATACAATTAAATCTTACTAAACTAATTGAGACGATTGGTCCAAAGTCTTCAGATCTTCAAAAATCGATAGAAAAATGCAGAGATCGCCAAAAAAAATCGTCTGGAAAGGGTTTCAGAACGTCTCTTTTGAAATTGGAATAAAAATAAGGTATTTATAGGCAAGACAACAACATCAGACGAGTATTCTTGGAAAACATGTAATGGGAGCGTCGTGCTTTCAGTGAAATTTGTCGTTTTTTGTGTTTAATGAAGTACGTTGCTGTTTTGGGCATTTTTTCGAAGCACGAGTCGTGCTTGGGTGTTCAGTGCGTGTTTGGTCGACGTACTCAAATAATACTCACAATCTTCGAAAATAAGAAAATCGACTTCGATGGGGATGTACGGTCCGTGCTTGGGCTTCGTAAATCTGAGATTTCAGAAATACTTCAAAAATTCTTCAGAGGTAAAGCACAGCCCATGCTTAGTCAGGCACGACCCATGCTTGGTCTTTTCAGCATTTCAGCTCTAGACTTGCTCCATATATATGCTCCGATTATGCTCTAGTTATATCCAAAGGATTTTAAACTACCGCTCCACTTTAAATTACCTGAAAAAGACACCAAAACATAAGGAGTACGAAAATTCGAACGACATACATGAGTTGTCCATTATCTAAATGAATGCAAAAAAAAATTCAAAAAATATGATGAAAAACACAAATAGGAACTAATATAAAAATGCATAAAATGCAA